CGCGGTCATGTTTCAATATGTTACCCTGCAGATGACATGGCTGGGCGTTGAAATACTCGGGCAAAAAGTCGAAAGAGGTGAATTCGGTGACAGTTTGGCTCGTCACGAGGTGCAGCGTTTGTATCAATACCAATAGCTGATTGAATCATATATCGGCTCTATCAATTGAACTCTTACTTTACTGTGTCTCCCATTACACCAGTGTTGTTTTTTTGGCAGCCAACTTCCCTGCTAACATCATGTCGACAAAACATTATTTCTCAGAAGCAGCTGCAAATTCCTTAGTACCTCGAGCATTAAGGTCTCTTGTGACAGCCAATCCCCATCTCATCTTAAACGAGCCCGAACGTGTAGTAGCCAACCAATATCACGACCCCGCAAAAGTTGCCATCATCAGCGGTGGCGGTTCAGGCCATGAGCCCTCCTGGAGTGGCTTCGTCGGAGAAGGTCTGCTCTCTGCAGTAGCATGTGGTGATATATTTGCCTCACCGAGCACCAAGCAAATCTTGGCCGCCAAGAAGTTGGCACCGTCTACCAAGGGGACCATTTTTCTCATCACAAACTACACGGGAGATCGTCTTCACTTTGGCCTTGCTGCCGAGAAAGCTAAGGCTGCAGGGTCCGGGGAAGATTATCTAGTGCTTCCAGCGACGGATGATGTTTCTATTGGTAGGAGCAGATCTGAACGAGTAGGAAGAAGAGGCATGCCTGGCCATGTCTTTAGTAAGTGGCTCCCAAGTTACGGATTATGCGTCCTGCTAATACGCAATAGCGATGAAAATTCTCTGTGCTGCCGCTGCCGAGGACTGGTCTTTTGAACAGTGCGTAAACTTAGGTCGAGCAGTCAACGACAACACTGTCTCGATCGGATCATCGCTTGATCACTGCCACGTGCCAGGTCGGCGATACCAGAAGATCGCCGATGACATTTGCGTTATCGGAGCCGGCATCCACAATGAACCCGGCCAACAACTGATTTCTCCTTTCCCGACTGTTGAAAGCGTCATAGAGTCTTGTTTGAAGCTACTATGTGACCACAGTGATCCAGAACGAGGGTTCTGCAAGTTCGCCCAAGACGATGAGACATTACTGCTTGTGAATAACTACGGTGGTCTTTCGAATCTGGAGCTTGGTGCATTAGTTGACGAGGTTCAACAGCAGCTTGCTTCGACATGGTCTATTAAACCAGTCAGATGTCTTTCGGGGTCTTTTGAGACCTCTTTAAATGCACCAGGCTTCTCAGTATCACTCTGCAATCTATCAGCCTCTGCAAGACTTTGCAACTCAACAACCGCAACATTACTCGAGCTTTTTGACCGGCCTACAACAGCTGTATCCTGGCCGAACCTTGTCAGACCATCACGGAAGCTTGTTCCTAGCGACGAAGGAAAGCAAAATGGTCATACAAACGGAGCAACGTCAGTTGCGACAACCAAGCAGTACGATTCAATGGATCCATCATTGCTTGAGAGATGCATCAGGTCAGCTTGTGAGAAGGCCATCTTAGCTGAGCCAAAACTCACCGAGTGGGATATGATGATGGGCGATGGAGACTGCGGCGAAGCGGTCAAGGCGCTCTGTGAGTCAGTGATTAGGAAGCTTGACGAAGGAGTTGCTGCCCCAGGCTCCGTTGTGTCGTTCCTCGAAGCAATCACCGACACCGTTGATGATATGGGCGGCACCCTGGGCGCCATCTTTGGGATTCTCCTCACAGCTCTCAACAACGCCCTCAAGCGCCAACTCGCAGACCAGGGAGGAGTGAAGGGTATAACTGCAGATATCTACGCTGAAGCCCTTCATATTGCTGTAGAGTCTCTCAAGACTTGCACGACAGCAAGAGAGGGAGACCGCACCGTGATGGATGTTCTTCTGCCATTTTCAGATGAGTTTGTGAGGACAAAGAGTTTTGAGGCTGCGGTTGTGAATGCGAAGGAAAAGGCAGAGGCTACACGATATCTGAGACCAAAACTTGGAAGGGCATTGTATGTTGGTGAGGCTAGTGAGCAGCAGGTGCCAGACCCAGGGGCTTGGGCGCTCTACGAGATACTACGCGGTATGGCAGGAAGTTTATAGAACCTATAAGCATACATATCAATAGACCAACAGTCTATGCCAGCAAAAGTCTGAGAACTGAATGAAAATCGGTTGTATATACCCTAATATTAGCGACCATATAAAAAACCTCGTGACTTTAAATGTCTTATAAAATATAAAACACTAAGTTTGTAGGGTTAACTTAGAACTTAAGGAGTGAAAGTATAGTACTTCCCTATTATATATAGTAATTAAAAGAAAAGAAAAGAAAAGAAAAGAAAAGGAGCTATAACTCATTATTAACTCATGCTTCTACACACAGTATTTATGCTACGTCTTTAGCGATAGATAAGATACATGCCAGGCGATCCACCAATAACGACTTTACAATTCTCTCGCATAGCCTGGGCAACAGCACATGGTAAACAGCAATCGCCTTGATAAAGCTGAGGTACGGTCTTAGAACAGCAGAGAAATTGGGATTCTCTATTCCGATGCGTCAACGTTACTCCGATCGAAGATTTTCCTGGTGCCACTGGTTCCATTACAGAAGTAGCTTTAATAATTAAGTTGTCCTTCGTTGGATCGAATGGTGTCGAAAGGTCGTGATCACAGCTGTCGGCCGGATTGAGACACATCAGTCCCAAGTGCATGTCAAGAAAATTGGCCTCTATCGTACCGTTGCCTTGCTTGATCTGACATCGTAGTAAAAGCGCCTGAGATCTTTGCATCAAAGCTGGGCGCAATGTCATAATAAGGCTGCTGTGTTCGCCAAGTCCTGATGGAACGGTTATCACGCCCTTGGAGATGGACCTTTTTGCTTTGGGCCTAGTCAGCGCCTTCGATGCTTTGATTCCTGGCATCACTGGAATTATAAAGTCATAACTGTCGGCCTGATAATGCAGCCTTCCATCGACTAATTCATACTGCACTGCCCATGGGCTAGAGATCTCAGGGACCTCAAGAGTAGCGGGATAAATAGTAGAAGCACCTGAGCTGTTGCAAATTGCTGCTGGGATATTTTCGCCGTAAAATAGCTCGAAATCTCCGACAAGATAGATAATATGGTTATGCAACCAACTCGGCCCAATACTCTTATATTTATGGTCATGACTCTCATTAAATCGTGACCAGATAACATCAATGAGATATGGGTATGTATCATCTCCAATGTGGGATCTCAATGAAGTGTTGAGACTGTATTGTAAGAAGAGAAATAGTAGCGATGCCTGCGTTATTTGGGCTACATCCCTCCAAAGCCTAGAAACTGGGCAGTGAATCCATGGCAAATAAGCGTTCAAATGGGATTTCGGATGACGAGTCACGTCCCATATCTTTCCAATCTTGCAGGAAGAACATGTGCAGTTTTTGAGAGGTAGAACAACTCGAAGGGTATTCTGAAGTCGGTTGAATGCCTCTTTGGGGCTCTGCAAAGCATCAGAAGGGCAACATAGCACTTTCTCTAAGCGCTGGGAAATAGTTTGTCGATATGTGGGCCCTAAAATGACCTTCAATCCTTGGGTCGGGAAAAGTCTTTCTCGCTCATAAGTAGTGTTCGAGTTGTAGAAGCAATCCGCAGTAGGTTCCATCGCTATAGATGCTACAAAATTCGATATAGCGAGTTTCAGAGGCTGAGATGAATCTGCACCGACCATAGAAAGGGAAAGATCTAACTGGCTCGAGAAGATGCCATCACATGTAAAGCGTAGTTCTTCGTTGCGTTTGTGTTGGCTGTCTGCGATGATATGCCGTTTTAGGAACCCGGCCTTCTTGATTTCCAGCTTCGTTTCAAGATGAATCTGTGTTGAAGAGCCATCTTCGGTAGTGACCGAGAAGATAATGTTGTCCCTGAGTCCACTCATAAAGACTTCTCTATTGATTCGCACTGAAACATCTTCAGGACACATTGCTAGCGTCAAGGCCAATAGTGTCCCTACACATCTTGTTCCAGACACTTGTAGAATCAAACTCTCATCTTGGAGGGCACTGCAGACCCCGGATAAGAAGTTGTTAAGATCCTCTTCTGCTGGGGTGTCGGCCAAGTCTCGTGGCACGTCTAAACCTGCTTCGAAAAAGCATTGCCTCAGCCGAGTGACTTGGAGGGCCAAATGGTTTCCAAAACCTAGGCATGCTGATTTTCGTTCTAATAGCATGCAAACATCGCCCAATTGAGTTGGTGAGGACAACTGCCGATCTGCAGGTAAGATATCTCGACAAAGATCGTAGAGCAGTAGTCCGCAACGGCTTTTCGAGTAAAGGCTCCCGAGGGCGCAGCATAGTAGAGCTGCAGTTTGCCCACCGGTAGTCTGACTCATGAAAGCCGGGGTGTCGTCTTTTGCCCACCCAACCCAAGCAGAAAGCCTTTCAAGTCTAACACAAGATGCCCTCGACAGAACGTCTGGAATCTTTGCGGCCCAAGGACCGTTGGATTGAAAGCAAGACCCGATTTGCTGAACTTGTATGACGGCATTGGGGTTAGCATTGTCAGCTGAAACGGCGCGAAGGAGTCCTTGGGCAAAGCCGATGGTGTTCAATGCGGCTCCCGGAATCCCCAAGATGTCAGCCTGAGCCGCCACTCCTCCATTTTCACCTGACATTGTAGTGATTTGAGTTATCTTGTCGCTTTCTGTGCGTCGTAGAGGATGCAAACAACACTGCAAACTAGTTAGGTCTTAATGCAATTGAAAAGATAGAGAGCAAGAGTGAAAAAGCAGATGAATGGATGAGAAACGTAGCTTGGGTATGAATTTGTTTTTGCGAACCAAGTGCCTGAAACTGCCTTGGCGGCCTCTACACGCCTTGTCTCCCTTGCATGATTCTTGGCTTGCTAAGCGCCCGTGCATGTCGTTTCTTACCACTAATTGGCGGACTGCTGCAGTCACAGCCGCACACCGGTGAGAATTTCACCAATTACAGTGCACAGGAGGACAGAGGGTTGAAAATATTGCAATGGTGGCTGTACATACCTACAAATTATCAACATCTCCATCCGACATCCAATGCGACCCTCCCGCACATCTATACCCACCACTCTGCTTAATCCACTGATATCCAACCGGACAGACTCCCATCGTCATTAACTTTGCCTTTCTTGCCTCAATCTGCTTCCGTTTTTCCTCCTCAGCCAGAATCCGACGAACAAGCTTCTCCCTGTCAGCCTCACTTGCATCCTGCTGAGCCTTTTTGAGACGGCGCAATTCTTCTTTCTCTTGGGCCTCTCTCTCTTTGTCCTTTTGGAGTTGCTCCCAGACTTCATCGCTCACTCCCGCGTCTCGGATTCCCTCATCACTGTTGTCATTGGAGAGTTCATCGTCCTTGTTCTCATCCTCGTTTACTTTAGCAGTCGTGGTGGTGTCGGTTGTCGTCGGGGGCGGTGTGAACTTGGGTGCTCTTGTGAACGCTTTGGCAGTCTTGGTCGCAACAGTCGGCTTCTTGTCCGTCATTCTTCCACGGCGCTCCACCATCATCTCATCCAAGGTGCTGCGAATGTGTTCTTCGGTAAGTGTGAGACTTTCGGAAGACAGATCGAACTTGTAAAAGATCTTCTTGGCAAGTTCTTTCACATCTCTTGCATTTGCCCAACTGTCCTGCTTAGACAGTTTGTTGAACTTGCTGGTTATTTCATCCAAGAATGCCTTCTCAGGCTGCTCCAAGCATGACAGGTCCAGTGCTATCTTGCCATCGAGCTGGATTTTGTTGGCTTGCAATTGAATGGTCATCAGTTGAATACAACTAGCAGGGGTGAGGGGGTCGAAGTCAATGCTTTCCGGGAAGCGACTGGACATTCCTGGGTTGATGCTCAGTAGAGTGTTGATGTCCTGCACGTAGCCAGCCAGGATAATGATAAGCTTTCCCTGATATCTTGGCTTCGTGACGCAATCCACAAGCTCATCAACAGCTTCTCTGGCAAACGAACTTTCGGAAGCCAGTCGATAAGCTTCATCGATGAAAAGGACTTTTCCCAATGCTCTGTCCAAAAGCGACTGTACCTTTGGTCCCGTTTGTCCAACATATTGGGCGATCATATCGGTAGTAGAAGCCTCGATGACTTCCGTGCTAGCCAAGAATCCCAGGTCATAGTACACCTGGCCCATCTTCCGGGCGGCTGTAGTCTTTCCTGTTCCGGGGGGGCCGCGGAACATGAAGTTGAAAGGGATTTCAGGGTCGATTTCCAACTGCTTGGCCTGACGAACACGGTTTTGATAGCCTTGAAGGATGGTCACCAGATGATCACGCCCAATGTCACCCTCGAAGAGTTTCTTGACATCGGTACCTCCGTTTTCAGCTCGGTCAAACTCCTCATCAAAGTCAATCGGCTCCAAGGTTCCATGCTTCTTGACCTGCCCAGATGAAACGCGCTTCTGGTGGCTGGTCATGGCTCTTCCGAGGAGAATGTCAATTTCACCAGCATTTCCGAAATTCGGGCTGTTCCTCGCACGTCGTAGGACATCCAGTGCGACACACTTGGCCTTGGTGGTCGCTTTGAACCCCAGCTTGCCTAGCTTGAGATCGAGGATCTTTGCCAGAGCGACGTCATCGAAATCTTCAAATACAAAGGCAGATGATAAAGGAAACCGTCGACTGAGACCCGGGTTGACGTTTTGAAACAGCTCCTCCATCTTCTCTCTGTAACCGAGCAGGAGTACACACCGGTCTTCGCCAGGCACACTTTGAACCTCTGCAACGATAGTGTCAATGACAGCAGTCTTAAATTGATTCATATGAGAGGCATTTGGACCTCCTCCATAGAGTCCATATGCTTCATCGATTAGAAGAACTTTTCCAACGGTGGAAGCAAGGATTCCTTTGGTCTGAGCCTCTGAACCACCAATGACAGCCCCAACAAAATCAGCTGGGTTCTTGACGATAAGCTCTCCATTCGATAGCAAGCCTAGATCCTTGAGTATCTCTCCGTAGAGCTTTGCGACAGTAGTCTTTCCAGTTCCAGGCGATCCCAAGAATACCTTATTCAGCGAAAACTCAACTAGAGGCTGCTCCGCAAGTTCTCGTTCATAATTTGTCTTCAGGGTATCCATGAGAACGCCAAGAGCATCCTTGACTTCTTGCAGTCCAATCAGGGATTTAAGCTCTCGATAAGCCTTGCTATTCAGCAAAGCCTGGGAAGGCTCTGGTCCGATGATGTCTTCTTGAGTGAGGAGCAAATCGTTCGGCTTTTTACCTGCCCTCCGTTGTCTTCGAAGGCGCGTAGCTTGTCTTTGACTTATCCTCTGAAGATAGTTTTCCACTGCGCGTGCGTTGCCGAATCCATTCCTCCCACGACCATGCCCAATTCGACGAGAGACGATACGGCAGAATAGTCCATCGCTTCCTTGCTCTACAGCCATTCTACCATCGAACTTGCGATGGATCTGTAGCTGGAGAATCTGGAGAAGTTCTTTATCTGTGTAGTCCTCGAACTTCATCTCAATAGGAAATCGACTGGGAATGCCGGGATTGTGAGAGAAGAATGACTCCATCTCCTTACTGTATCCTGCCAAGACAAAAACAACTTTTCCTCTCAGGTTCTCAACCTCTGCCAGGAGATAGTCTAGTACAGCCTTGCCGCCAGGGCTGTTGCCAGATGACAGCTGGTATGCTTCGTCTATGAACACACAGCCGCCACCGTTGTTGTTGACATCCTCAATGAGCTTCTCACAGCCAGTGACTCCCATGTTGGCGAGCTTAGAGCCAGTGACTTCCTTGAAGCAACTTCCTGCAATTGCACCGACCGTTGTGAGGAATTCGGCATATATTCTGGCGACTGTCGTCTTGCCTACAGAGAAGTCAGTTAATGTCATGCATTGTGCTGCTTGTGTCTTTGATGCACTCACCTGTGCCTGGATTGCCAAGTAGCGAGCAACTCCATCTCTCATCCCCAATAGAGAACCCTTGACGTATCTTGGTGTCGACCGTGGACTTGATCGACAGTATCTGGTCTTTGACAGATTCCAGACCGATCATTCCCATCAGCTTATCCAGGGCAGCGTTGCGTGCACCTTCGACCTCTTTCATGTTCTTCCACTCTTTGGCTGCACTGGAGATAGCATCGAACTGAGGAGCAGCCTGAGGCGGTGGACTGCTTTTCTGGGTTGCCTTCATCTTCTTCTTATTGCTTTCTGCTTGTCGAAGAGACTCAAGCTCCTCCTTCTTCTGTTTGAGCTCGTCCGCATGCTTTTTCTCTTCAGACTCGTACTTCATAGTTCGACGGCGATGGTCAATCTCATCTTCAATCTGCTGTAACTGCAGGCGATAATTGTCTTGGAGCTTTTGGCGTTTCCGTTCCAATTCGAGATCACGTCTGATACGCCTCTCATCATCCTCCTGGCGCTGTCGTTCGAGTTCAAGGTTACGTTTGATACGTCGCTGGTTTTCTTCCTCCTCTTTGATGCAGGTCGCGCAGACTTTGGTCTTATTTCCACATGGGGCCTTCGTCGTATGGCCTTTATCGCACTTTCTGTCAACTTTGGCAACGCATAGGATCTTTGAGTGGTCTTGCACTCTATGGCAGCGTCGCTGGCATTTGTGCTTGCCGCAGCTCAACGGGGCATTACTAGAAGGTCAGTGATCTTATAACAAGTGCGATACCAAAGAAAGAAAAGGGCAGAGTGCGAGTTTAGACTTACCAGGGTTCGGCGCATCCTCCATCGGGACACTTCTTATCAAAGTCTTCAGGCAGCTTCAACAACATGGACGTCTCAGGGTGGCGCTCGCAATGGATAGGTACTCCATCGAATATAGAATTATTCATCTTTAGCGCATCGAAATACTGCGCCCACATTTTACCGCCCTTCTTGCTCTTCATGAATGTCTCCATGTTTCCAAAGAGAATCATGCCGTTTCTGGCTCGTGATAGAAGTACGACAAGTCGTTCGCGAGCGTACAGAAATCCAATGTCTCCCGATGCGTTGCTGCGGGTTAGCGAGACGATGACGATATCGCATTCTTCTCCTTGATAGTTGTCTATGTTGTCAGCATTGAACTTACGGGGTGTCGGTTGGCTTACCAATTGTTGAGAGACGCAGTGGCTTCTTGTTCACTTTGGCTGCAGCCTGCGTGACCAGTCCCGCACGCACCAGGTCATGGTTGTCGACATCGTTTAGCCAAGGATCCATTTCCTTCCGAAGAGTCTCCTTCAAAAGGAATAATTGGCCCAGATATGGCGTGAGAACAACCATGTTCTCGGTCTTGTATCCATTTTGCGATAAGTACCGCACCATTCGGAGAACCATCATAGCCTCGTGGAGGTTCCTCTTACTGGCTTTGGCAGTGGGGTCCCGGCGCTCAGCGACATCGTCCACGGTATCCTCCGGTCGTTCGTGATGAACAAATGTCACCCGACTCTTCAATCCTCGGATCGGCTGACGGTCGGAAGTTGATGGCATGTCCTTTAGTTCGGGATAAGCTAGCATGCGAGGGTATTGTGAGATATCTGGATGACTGCGGTGCTGCTCTTCAAGAGCTGTGAAATGGCGACCCTGTATAACAAGTCTCTCAAAGAGCGATACGTTCAGATCGTAGCCTTCGCCTTTTTCCTTTGTCAACAAATAGTTACCGATCTTTGGCCTGAGCTGCTTGTGATCTCCGATTAAGATGAGTTGCTTGACTGAAGCACTCATGGCTGTAATAATATGCGCTTCAAGGATCTCTCCCGCTTCTTCAACCAAAATGACGTCGGGACTGGCGGTTTCAATGATTGACTGGTACATTGCTGCCGCGGTTGTTGTGCATGCGATGATTTGTTTATCCTGGAGAACTTTTCGTCCGCACTCGTCACGGATACTCTTGATCTCGGTTCTCACATCACTGAATTGCTGGCTCAGTTCAACGAAACGGGCGCTCTGTTCCTCACGAACCATTTGAGACCATTCATAATGACATTGCTTTCTTACAGCGAGCGGCGCATTCCAGACGGTCCGGGCTCTCAGGTCGAGAGATGCGCTGAGGTGTCCGAGATGATTGACATCACCGCCGTCCAGCCAAAACTGGTAAACACCGGCCGGTTCAATTGCTTTACCATCCGAACCTACCATCTTAAATCCATCATCTTCTGGCACCTGAAAAGCTTCCCATGCGATGCTGAAATTTTCGGAAAGCTCCAGGTGTTCCAGGATATCGGCCGGATGGGCCTCTCGTGCAGCGAGCTTTCTGCTGCATTCTTGAAGCTCCGCGCTGAGATTTGTTTCATTGACGCGAAGTGAATTGAGGATAGTTCTCTCCTCCGGCTTCAACCAATACCTCTTTTGACCGTCGTATTCTCTCAGAAGAGTGGGTTTGGTGGCTTCAGTAAACTTGGAGCCCAGACGAACCATTTGATCTGAGCTGATGCCAATGTCCATCAGATCCTCCAAAAACTGGTCAAGGGCGTGGTTCGTATAGCTCAGAACAAGGATACGCGACTTGCTCAATCGTAGGATAGTCAAGAGAATGAGTGCGCCCAAGAATGACTTTCCTGTACCAGGTGGGCCTTGAATGAGAGCCAGGTTGCTGCTGATGCCATGAATGAACGATCTCAGCTGAGCGCCCTCTAAATAGATGTCTTTTTTCAGCTTCAAACCCGGAGGCATCTTGATTTTACGCCCCGAGTCCAAAGCAGCACGGAGCTGATGTGGCAGGGCGTCCAATGACGCTGATCTCGGTCCATCCTGAGCAGGTTGCTCCGCATCGATCAATTGAGCTTCGAGTGGGAACTCGGCGATGGTCTTCAATCGCTGGAGAATCGGCTCATAGGCAAAGGTAGCCGTGTCTACGATAAAGAACTTGACTTTATCCTTGAAAGGGCCTTGGAGGGCTGCTATCGCCTTCTCGAGACCTGAGCCATCGCTAAACTTGATACCGATGATGGGTGGTGTCTTGAGGAGATTGGCGACGTCTCTGACAAGCGACCCGAATGCGATAATGGAGCCGTTGCAACAGAGCGCACCGAAAGAATCTTGTTTCATAAAATTCTTGGACTCTTCTATAAACGCCTTCTTCCCGCTTTTTGATACTTTAGGCGGAAAATCAATGCCCTGCTGGCACGCGACGTAGAGAGCATATGGCGGGATGTGCTTGGTCTCAATGTCATGGTCGGTATTGATGCCAACCAGTCTCAACTGCGCCAAAGCAACAGGACGGCGCTTGCCCTTCTTCTGACTCATCGCGACTTGGAGATCTTCGCGAAGCTCAGAGAGCATGTCCTCGCGAAGGAGACGGAAGAGCCAGTCGCGGTAGCTCTGACTTCGGGTCTCCATTGGCGTATCAAAAACCTCCCCCAGTCGCTGGAGATACGGAGGATCGGTCGACAGAAGTTCGTCAGAGGTCGGATAAATTGAGATATCGCGAAAGCTGGCATGATCATTGTCGTGACGTCCTCCAGGAGTGACTCCGTTGGATGCAATTTCGGGTTGGGCAAAGATCTTGATGATCTTGTCGATGCGGTATGCGGTCTTTCTCACCTCGGGCGACTGCGATTTGAGAAGAGACTTGCTGTCCATCAATTCTTTGACTGCTTGTTTATGGATACCAAAGCTCGTTTGATCAGAGACAATCTGTAGGCACAGCCAGGCAAATGCCTCAAGCCCGACATTGTCGAGTTTGTCATTATGGTAAGCGCCCAGTGCAGCAGTCCAAAAGGTCACCGGCTCCAGAATAGCCGTCAGCATCTGGCGAAGGAATCCACCATTACTGAGAGAAGCGACGCCCTCATCCGATAGCGTTAGGAGAAACGGCAAGGCAGTGGTGTTTATGAAGCTAAAAGTCAAGTCGACGCGGACTACTCTCTCCAACGCCGCGATGCCGGCAGGGTTCGAGATCAAGACCTCAACAAATTTGACAGGCGAGTTCTTGCTCCTGTAGATCTCACAAGCTTGTGCAAATAACTTTGCGGAGTGTGCATTGATGATTTGCTGTTCGCCTTTGATGACGGCCCAGAAGGTCTTGATGAGCTTTGCGGCTCGAGAGCCAGATGCGTCTTGTACTAGAACCATGGCAGCGATAGCGATGATGATGCCGAGATAAGATGATGAGGATGATGAAGTCTCTGGTGGAATTAAAACTGATGATCTTAGAGGGATACGATACCACTGAGAAAGTGAGTGAGTGAGTGCAGCCTCCATTTGTACTGTGAATGAAGCTGTCTGTCTGTCTGCCTTGACTTCACCCAACCAGCATCGCCACGACGGCCAACAGAATGCATGGGGCCGACAAAGCCTACCGTGTGATGCGACAATGAAAAAGACATTTAATTCGCTGTCAATCAGGCTCTGAGTTGTTTTGGTCGGCCTCCCACAGCTCACGGCGGAGACATCGACTGGCAGTCAACTCCGGTGCAGTACAGGAAGACTTCAATTAAAATGGGAAAAATACATAGAAATAGTCACGGCTCTTCATACAAACTTGATGTACTTTTGCAAGTTAGATAGTTTGCTTTCGGCACCCTGGTTGAGAGACGTGGATGAAGAATGCCTGCCTATTTTTCACAGCCCAGCAGGCCGGGAAACAGGCCAACATCGTCGCAACCAACAAAGGATGGGCAAAGTGTAAATAATGCAGCGATTAGGCAAACTCTGTGGCATATTCCCATTGATTGTCTGGTAGGCCTCCTGATGTTACGCAGAAGAAGTGAATGGTATTTGAGAACATATAAAGTGTCTGTCTTCATTTTCCAGCAGCTCATCAGCCTCATTCATCCAATCTTCGCGAGCTCCAGTCTATCAATCATACCTAACATAACATTCTCATATATTTCTCATTCTTGAAACTCACTTCATGATGTACGGACGACGTCAAGCAAGTTCGCGCGCATGGCGGGCACCCACGCCTGTGACTCCATCGCCAGCACCTCCACTGGGAGATGTAATTGAGCGCATCACCCAAGATAGCCTCAAAAGCGATGACGACCGCGTGAAAATTGAGAACGCCAAAGTAGTCGCATCCTACAACTGGATCAGCTCATCTTCTCCCGAGATCATCATCCCAGGTATGTGAGCCACTCGAAAAAAAACAGCACGTCTAACATGTACAGGTCAACCTCCAAGATGGACGCCTCTCAAGGGCCCAAATAAATTACCTGGTGACGCTGGCGAGTATTATCGCGATGTCAACGCAGCAGCTTACCCCAAACATCCACTTGAGCCTGCTATTGTCTCTGTTATGAAGATGAATCCCAGCCCTATCCCTGTCAACATCGTTGCATGCGGAAGCACGATCGGGAATCTCCTGCGCTTTGCTCGAGGTGTTGATCTGGATCGTTCGTTTCGCATTCTCGTTGAAAAGGTCGGCGACACTGTCCATCTCATTCGCAGAGAGAATTCGCCTCGCGAGAAGATTGAAGGTGTACGAGGATTCGGGCATACATTCCCAGAGGCATACACCACATGGGACTCTTCGGTCAAGCGCTCGACCTCCCACCAGCGAATCCTTTCGTATCAATTCGGCGGTCTTGATCTCATGGTCCGCTTCGAAGGCGATGGGTACACTTCATCCAGTCCTGTCGCCAAGACCGTGAAGGGATACACTTTCGACGATTTGGAAAGTCTCGGCATCATTGAATCGCTGTCAAACGGCACTGGCCAACTCAAAGTGTCAGATGGGGGTGAATCCGTCCCTCAAAGCAGCATCTTCGACTTGAAGACACGATCAATCATGGCTCGTGAAAAGGATCATCTCGGCGAGCAGCTTCCACGCTTGTGGGTCGCTCAAGTCACGCAATTCCTCCTCGCCTACCACGAAAGAGGTCTTTTCAGAGACTCAAACATTGAGATCAAGAATGTCAAAGCCGACATCACCGAATGGCAGGATCTCAACCAGCCATCACTCAAGCGTCTCGCTGCACTCCTGCGCCTCATTATTGACAAGGCCCACGCGTCAAAGAACGGTAAGTTGGAGATCGTATGGTCCAACAGCGGCTCTCTCGAGATTCGCAAACAGCTGTCCGATGCAGGTGACGTCTTGTCTGAACCTGCCAGGAAGCAATGGGAGGCTTGGTTGGGGAGTGAGAACAAGAATCCGGAGGACTCGGAGCGCGAGGAAGAGTTCATGGCGGCGCAATCGGATAGCGACGGTGACAGTGATTTTGCTGCGTGTGATCAAGAGTGCGGATATTGCGGAAAGTGTATATACTGAGGAGTGGCCGGAGGGATGAGGATGTCATGATGTACCCGACGAGTACATAGCATTAAACGCCGACATTGATGTTGACAGACAGACCCTTCAGTAGCCATTCTTACCGAACTACCGAGTTACAGATTCAACTGGTTAAGGGACCTTCCAGATGAGACAAGGGATGCTGACAGACGTCAATCATGGTATCACCCTTGCTCAACCCTTGAAATCGATACGTCCATACCCTACAGATCACATCACTTGTGCCACGCAATTGTCTCAAATGGCGCACATGTACGTTTCACCAGCGCGGATCGCAATGAATGAAGATCACTGCAAAAATAGCACTGCCTCAAGGAAAATATGGATCATCCAATAACACCTACTGGCGCGCGCCAAATCGGGCCACCCTTAGAATTCTGGGGAAGTCTGAGCCAGAAGAGTCTACGGTATCTTTAGCGCATGAATCCCAAGGCCAAGCTTTTTCTTGGTGTCAGACGAAAGTATGGGAAGGAGATCGGCAAGTGGAAAAGCTTTTTTATCGTCGTCGTACCCTTCAATGTAACAGACCACACAGTATCCGGGTTGAAAACCAATATCTTGCGTGCTTTTTTTCCCCCTCCTCCCGTGAAGTATTACGCAAGCTCGTTGGTGGAGAGTTGGAGGAATGGTCTGGGTGCTCCCCCCGTATATAGTGGAGCGGTTAAAGAATGAGGGGGGCGAGGCCCTTTTTAGGCGACGCACAGTTCTAACTATTCCCAACGAGGCTGGAGGTTGGGGTCTTCTAGAACGAGATAACGATAGAGTCGAACCTGGTCGATCACTTTCCTGCCCTGCGGCTCTTACTGCACCTTTGAAGCGGGGTCGGAGAGGGCACGCGAGGGTAACGTGAGAAAGAAAAAGGTGTGAGGTTGGTGATGGGTTGGACGGGCCGACATTGCTGTTAAGATCAGCAGTGGGTGGTATTGACGGACAGAGAGAGAAGGAGAGGGAGAAGGAGTCTAAATGGTGGTGTCGACTGTCCCAACGACGAACCTTTTTAGTAAGGTTAGTTTATGGAGAATGGTATGCTTAAAGAAGCTTTCAGAGTTTTCATCTCTACCTTAGTTCAAGTCGCGGTCAACGACATGATGCACGGCATCTTGATTGATTTCACGGACAATCCATGAACTATAGCGGTCTATATACTCTGTACGCAACATTCAATCAACTTATCTATCTACCCTTGTCCTTAACCTCCAGATAAAGAAGTCAACGGCGTAGGTTCCATTTCGCTATCTCGTGGTGGGGATCACCAACTTGGCTTTCCCAGCCGGAGACAGTTCCCGTTGTTAGTGTAGCGGTACCGCAGGCTATTGGCGCCGTTGTCTCAGGGGCCATAGGAGACACGGGCCACCAAGACGCCAATACGTGGGTTACAGATTTGATCCGTACTCGTATCAGGATTGGATCCATCTCGCTCAGGCTCGCTCCGGGTACAGACTCTCTACATCACGTACGTCGTCTTGTAGCGATTGTCCTGTCCTATTTTCAGAAACCTGACTGTACAATACGTCAGCGCGATACAGTCACCGTGTCATCTCTACACGATGCTCCAGATCGAATGGTCCACAGATCAATTTTCTAGCCGCGCCATGTCCGAAGCGCCCAGCCAGTCTGGCCAGTCCAGCCAAGAGAGTTCAGTCAAGTGCCCGTAGGTTATAATCTAAAATTGCCTCGACCGAATCTTGGGGTCGATTCGCCTCAGCATTTCATTTCTCATGCCATTCTTGGCTTTCCCATCGCCTGCCCATGGCACCACGTCTCTCCTGGTCAGACGGGATATGGATTCCACAGACTCAATAATAAACGTCACATGTAATTGCTGTTTCAATAATTCGCTTTGTTTGCTCGGGCGCTGTTTCATAAAAATGAATGCAATTCCTGAGACTTTCGGTCCCCGCTGAGTTGAGTTCACTGCCCTCTGCAGGGCGATAAGATAAGCTAAACTACTGCAACGCACTGTAGCTTGGGACTTTTCAGGGGGCTTTCCCTTAAAGCTCGGGGCTGGGCTCCCCAACCTCACCTCCACACCACTACAAGCACCCCTGAAGACGCTCACTCCCAACGGGATTGAGGTCGCATCACCAGAACCAGTCAAGGATTGGTTTGGTTTGTTCAGTCAAGACCTTCAAGGTCGTGTCCTTTTCCATCAGACGCCCCAACTGTTCGCCACCCCAGCATCCCATCCCTCTTCTACCCCTTGTTCGTCCTCTGCAATCATTCATTACCCCGTCTCTCGCTCTCAAGACTCCTTCTTTTACTTCTACAACTTGCCTCTGTCCCTCGTTTACTTTTGCATTGTAGCGACGGCGCCAGACGACCCCGCGAACAACTATCGGACTGGATCCGACATCACGATACCGAACGAGTCAAGATGCATTTCACAAAGAAGATTGACCGAGCCTTTCAATGGGCCGGCGAAAGGATGGGCGCTGAAGCCCGAACGGCTCATTCTGATGAGTTCAAGAATCTAGAGACCGAAATGGCTCTCCGTCAAGACGGTTTGTTCCCCGTGGATCATTAACCTTTCGACGACTAACGATCCCAGGCATGGAGCGCATGCAACGATCTATGAGCGGCTACGTTAAATGGTTGTCCCAACGCAATGAGCTTTTGGATAACAAAGAGCGCGGCACTCCCATGGCGGCTCTTGGCCGTACAATGGCTACCCATGGCGAGGATTTCGAGCAAGAGTCCGAGTTCGGAAACTGCCTGTTGTCCTTGGGTCGCGCCAACGAGCGCATTGGTGGCATCCAAGATTCCTACGTAGACTGTGCCAATGCCACTTGGCTGGACAACCTTGAGAGGAGTCTGGCAATGATGCGAGAGTACCAGGTATGTTACTCGATTGCTTGGCTATACGCCCGCTAACAAGAGTAGAACGCCCGCAAGAAGCTTGAGAACCGCCGTCTCGCCTACGACGCCAGCACCAACAAGCTGCAAAAGGCCCGCCGTGACGATTTCCGCATCG